GAGTTTAAAGAAATATTAGACACTCAATACAAACTGATTATGAGAAACGGCGATGCATTAGGAGAAATTAAAATGATAGTTGGTTTAGAAGCATCAACGCCCGAAATATCTGTAACGGATGGAAAAGTTACATTAGTCGGACAACTGGAAATTACAAATACTGATGTATCAGGACAACAAAGAGTATTAATTAATAATCCAGATGATGATGGATTTATTAGACTAAGTAATAATAATTTATCAAGATTAGACGCAACAAATACAGGTGTTGATGTTTATGGCGACCTTTCATATACGGGGTCATTAATTCCTTCATCCGATAAAAGATTAAAGAAAGACATAAAAGAACTAAATAGCAAAAAAGCAGTAGAATTAGTAAAATATATTAAGCCTAAAACATATCATTTCATTGATGACAGACTACAGGGTAAATCGTGTGTAGGATTTATTGCTAACGATTTCATGGAAACGAAGAAGATGCCAGATGAATGGCAGAATGTAGTCAAAGAGGGAACGGATGGATATTTAAAATTCGATTATACAACAACTACACCAATTTTATGGAGTGCTTTACAAAATGCTTTAAATAGAATAGATAAGTTAGAAAAAGAAGTGAATAAATTGAAAGGTAAGGGAAAAAGCGAGAGCGATTAATTATATTAAAATATCATAATATTATTAATCAATAATTAGTTTAGCGTCAAATCTTTTATAAAACATATCATTAACATCTGCTTTCATTAAGTTAATGAACAAAAAACTATATGGTTCTTCTGTTGCTAAATTATACACTTCCAATAGTAATTTCTTTGCTTCTGCAAGATTTTTAGTATCTGCTACAGATGATTTTTTAATCAACACGGCGCTTAATTCTTCAACCATTGTTTCTATTTCTTTGTAATTCCTTAATCTAAAGAAGAACAACTGACGACTATTGACACGAATTATTGGAGACAACACGTTAAATTTTTGTGTAGATGTAATAATATTAATTGCGTTATGTCTGCCTCTCACATATAATTGATTTAATAAAGGCGAGTTTCTTGAGAATGCTTTTGAATCCGCGAAATCATCAACAATAATTAATATCGAATGTAATTTATTATGGTTATTCTTTTTTTGATATTCTATAATTTTATGTTGTCTGTTTATGACTTCTTCTAATTCCGAAGGGTTGTATTCATCAAAGAAAACCTTTTCTTTTTCTAAATCTACCTTGAGTTCGTTTTGAATATATCTTTTAACAGGGAGCCAATTAGCATCAACGCTAATTGAAGGGCTCCACACATATATTCTCGCGAAGACGTCCTTATAAATGTCTAATATCATTGACTGTAATAATATACCTTTTCCGCTTCCGGAAGGACCAGTTATTATTTGACTAAAAGGTAATCTCGGGGCTACTTCATATTTAGATTGTTTGAACTCGTATTCTTTGACATTGACAGGCTTAACTATTGGAATGCTTGACATTATTATTAATACATAGAAAATTATATCGTTATTTAATATATGTATAACTACAAAAATTATATAGATGTAATAGATGAGATAGAGAAATTAGACGAAGTAATAAAAACACCAAGATATAGAATGTGTTGTCGTAGTGTGTTAGAGTTCTTGAAAGCCGTTTGTTATTATCTTAAGAATATGAAAAAATCTAAATAATATTAATGGAAGAGAAGAACGGAGGATTTCACATAGATAAAAGCAGTGTTGATTGTAATTTTTGCAAGTGTGGTAAAAAAGCACTTTTTAAACAAACTAAAACAACAACAGACAAAGAGGGTAATGTCGTAGTTAATCAGGTTGAGAATCGGAGTAGTCGGAAAGTTGGCAGGAATACGACGCCCGACGGAAACGCTATATTCAAAACAAACATGAAAGATAATGAAGATGTTGATACAGTAGATACAGGGTTCAGGTCAAGAAAACCAACACCCGAAGAAAGAATAGAAATATTAGAAAAAGAAGTAGAGGAACTAAAAAAGAACTTGAAATTAAATAGTATGGATTAATATTAAAGGCATGTTTTTATTATATATCTACAGGGCACGATTGCCAGCTTTTGGAAGAAGGAGAAGAAAGCCCCGATACAGCGCCCCAGTGTTTCACGTTGGACGAGCTCATGGAAAGGGGAAGTAAATGAGGAACGTCCAATAGCATCTCATAAGCAGTTGCTTAATTCGTTTTACCCCCATATAGATATTTATAATAATAAATGTTATTATTATTAATATGAATAATATAGTAGAATTTAATTTAACAAATGAACCAAACGAAGGTTATAATCAAGACATAGGATTTTGTAAATACTGCCGTTGTTATGTTCCTAAATCTTATTTTATTGGTTGTTACGGCAAAATGTGTAAAGCGTGCGTTAAATGTCGGGAAAAACATTTAACATATATTTTATATGGGAAAACTTCTAAACATTTACCAGAACAAAATGAGTATTCTAAAAGTAGCTGAAAAATGCGATTATTATGTTACAGGTATTGATTTAGATTGTTGGACGAGTTTAGGATGGGAACAAAGATTATTGAACTATGAACCCGAAACATTTAAATTTATTTGGGCGCAGATTGATTGAAGAAAACCGCAAAACGAAGCACAGATTAAGAAAATAATTGAACACTTAAACCCGAAAGGGTGGTGCATTCAACACATAAAAGAACCTTTGAGTGATGCTGATATTGAGGAGATTATCCGCATTTAAAGGGTAGAATACGTAATAACGTATATGACCGAGGGTAAGGTGAGCACGGATGAGATTTACAATACTATTATCGAAAACCACAATATGACACAATTAAAAATTAACGAGATTTTAGGACTTGTTAAACAGTTGGTTAAGGATAAGGATAAGAAACCAATCACTTATGAAAAGAGCACGTCATCAACACCAGTTGATAAAGGCGAGAAAAGCGATTGGAGTAAGAAAAGAAAAACTTACATGGACAGACTGAATAAGGGCGAAATCAAAGTCCCAAAAGAAGACACGTTAAAGTATTATGATATTGAATTTAATAAGGAAGAAGAAAAGTATCAATTTAAAGCACCCGCTAAAAGCGAGGAATGAGATGCGATTTAATATTATTTGTAATATTAAAACTCATCAGGGATAAATATGATATGAAAAGTTATTTAATTTGTAAATGGCTATTGTTTCTTCAAGATTGTCAAGTGCGGTTTTGAATACAAACCAATTAATTTTATCTTCGTTTTCGATAGGTATGTATGTCCTTAAATACCATTCGGTATAATGCGAAACTCCGTTCAATATATCTTTTATTACCTTGCCCCGTATATCTTTGCAAACTTCATCATTTACAACATATGTAAATATTACTTTACACGAGTGGTCTCTATACAGTTCAGGGTTATCAATTGTAAATATACATTCACCTAATGAGAATTTAGGATGAACGTGTATAGGTTTAGGATTTTTTATTTTAGCAGAAGGAGTTATTAAAGGTTCTGTGTTTGTTTGGTGGGTTGATGTTGAACTTCCCATGATTAACGGTTTAATATAACATACCTTTAAACGTGTTTATCTTTACCCAAAACGTCTTAAAGAATAGAGGGCAATAGTATGTAGGGTATGAACACAAACACAAAGTTATGCGCGAGATGTGATAAGAAAAGAGAGCTTACTGATTTTGATAAAGGTAAAGCTACGTGTAAAGCGTGTCTTTTGGTGAAACAAGAATACCGACAAATTGAAATAGATTGTCCAATATGTAATTGTAAGGTCAAAAGAAACGCTTTAACACAACACCTAAAAACACAGAAGCACATAAACAACCAAAAAGGAAAAGAGACATGGGATTTAAACACATTGAAAACGAAAAAAGATGATGATAATACTGAAAAATGTCCGCAATGTAAAAAGCGAGAACCACTTGAGGGATTATCCCTATGTGAAACATGTCAAGGATACAAAGACAAATACAATAAGAAACAACGAGAAAAACGAGCCAACAACGGAAATATATATTGTGAAGCATGCGAACAAAAAGTAAAACCTGAAAACTGGGAAATACATTTTACATGGGGACGACACAAAGGCGGATTGAGAAGACAAATCATGAATACATATGTAAAAGGACTAAAGGAAGCAACAACACAAGAAGAAAAAGACAAAATCATAGACGAGAAAAACCGCAAATTACAAGAATGGGAAGACAAATATAATTAATAAAATGTAGTTTAATATTATAATAATATAATATTAAATTTCATTGAAGGGAGCTTGCCCCACATAAGGCTTATTGTTATTCTTGGGTTTTGGGCTTATGGTTAAGCATATTAAAGGGATTAGGTTTTGGGTTTTTTCGGGTGATTTTGGGCTAAGGAATAACGGGGATTTATGGGGGAAGGTGTTTTTTAGATTTTGGGTTGAGGAATAACGGGGATTTATGGGGGAAGGTGTTTTTTTCGGGGTTTTGGGCTTGGGATTTTGGGAATAGGATTTCGGGAATATGGTTTTGCGGGGATTTGGGCTTGAGATTTTGGGCTAAGGATTTCGGGAATATGATTTCGGGATTTTTTGGTTGATATTTGTCGGTCTGGTGTGCCGCCGAATGGTTCAATAGAGGGCGGGGCGAGGTGTCGTGTAAGTCCCCCCCCCCCCCCCCCCCACATGCTGGGATGTACCCACGGACCATGACAGTTGGTTGTCCATCTTTGCTCGCAGGCCCAGTTTCTTCGAGAGCCAGACAAGGCTTCTCAAATCCCATGTGGAAACTCGCCCAAACCAAAAAGGTTGAAGACCCATCCATGAAGAGGATCTCCCTTCAGCTCGATCCCAGAATTTGGGCAAAATATGTTAGGAAATCCCAGGCATGTGGACCATGTCGAGAATACATCCGGATTTTGAGGACGTGGTGCATCGCAGCTGCTTCCTTTGAGAGGTTGCTTGTTACTTTAAACCCTTGTCATCAGGCTTTGCAACCTTAAACCTCAACCCTGAACCCTAAACCTTTGGGCCACCTGGCCTGGTGCCAGCAGGCCCCGGTTTCGCAGGCGCTGAGCAGCCTAATTCTTCTTGTGGGGGGTTCTAGGGCATTCTCGCCAGGGTTTCAACCCTGCTACCTTAAACCCTGAACTCTTGTTTACCCGGCTCCGATTTTGCTTGGTTCTAGGGCTCTTGCGCTTTAATTTTTTTCGGTTCGCAACCCGACAAACCCCTAAAAACCTCTCAGAATTGAGCTCCCCATCGAGCGGCGCATTGCAGGTCACGTCTGTGCCAGCCACACCGCGGCCTGGTGGCCATGGACACTTCCCAAGACTTCAGAAGGTAGGGCGGTTTAGGGTTCAGGGTTCAGGGCCTCAAACTCTCATCTACCCTTCCCGACGCCCCTTACGCTCAAAATTTCGGCTACGGCGCAGGACCCCAGGTCCTTGGGCTGGAAGGCAGGGTCCAAGGCGGTTGGGAGGACAAAGCAGCCGAAAGCTCCTTAAAGCCTCAAGACTTTCGTGAGCCTTTTTGAAAACTCTGGAAGGGTGGTTCGGGCCTCGCATGTAGCCAAGCAGGCGGGTGGCTCTTCGCCACTGCTCGCCCTTCCTTGGCCAGACTCGTGGATCGCAACACGGGAAAATGGGAATGAACGGTGTTTGCATCACTCCCCTCCCCCGCCCCCACTGCCAGATGTTGCCCGAAAAGTTAGATATGCCATAAGATGCATATTATTTCTGTACATGTATATATATATATATCTATATGTATACGTTTCGTTTTTTAAAGGTTTTTTATTGGCATATAATAAATCAAGCCAAACTGGCTCTACTAAGGTGATCAGGTCTGAGGGGTGATCCAATATTGGGGAGTACGAGGGGAGGGAGGGGACTCTCAACCATAGCCCCTTCAGGTTCTCAAAAGCTTGAAGACTACTGGTTTGTAGTACGGAATGAAGGAATTGAGTACCTTACCATTCCCCCATAAGAACCTTCAAAGGATAAAATAGGGTACCTACTAAGAGCCAGTCGCGTTACAGCGTTTATGAGGCGAAGGGCTGACAGGCTGTCATGGCTGCGTTGCAGCCCATGTCTTGAAGCGCGAGCTGCCTTCCCACCTGAGCTGCTCGGACATCCGTTGGGGCGTTGGCCTTGGAACGTTGTCGGCTTGTTTCTTTGCACTTTAGGCGCTGGGGGAACACGATGCCACAGCAGCAGCTCCCGCTTCTTTTGGGACATCATGCGTGTCATGGAAGTGCCACCATACACCGGCAGCTTGCTGCCTTCCTGAAGATGCTGGACACTGTGAGTTATGTAGCGGCCCAGGAGTTAGAATGGGACTTTCGAGTTACACATAGATACAGATCATATTGGGAGATAGAGGAAGTGATCCTGTATTTAAACCTGCGAAGGCACCCGCGCACAAATCCTTCATCCCCGCCCTGAGCTCTCCCTTGTGCCCAGGCTGCGAGCTGCGGTAGCAGGGCAATGGCCCGTCGCCACTCTGCTGCCTCCACGGGGAAGCTCTACTGGGAAACTCCAACCTAAGCCCCATAGAAGCTGCAAGTCCTATCAAGAACTTCTTTTCTTGCCCCGCGCCTTTTCGAAGGTGCTGATGACCTCACTCTCACGGCTACTTCTGGGGAGTTTCTTCTGCGCTTGTCTGCAAGATGTCAAGGAGAACGACGGGGCGGTTTGGGATTTCGTGCTGAGTTCTGGAGAAAGGTGCGGGTGCTTGGGTTTAAGGGCTTGGCTGTGGTTCGGGGTTGCGGTCTCGACCCTCCTCGTGCTTGCGGACAGCAGGCGAAGGCTACAAGCGTGGGAGGTGAAGTCTGTACATTTCCTTCTTCTTTTCCTCTGACTTTGTTTGTGAAAGCGCAGGTAGGGTGAGAGTCCAATGTTCGCTGTTCTTGTCTCGTCTCTATCATACAATAGAAAGCGCTAGGAAGTGAGATTTGGGTGTTATGATTCTTGCTGAAGAATGCAGCTTTGGCATCCCGATTTAAACACGTTCTTGCGTGCACAACAAGGGACATGCGTCGCAAGGAAGGAATGTACCGTGTCAGGCATTGTTCTGGTGAAGCCTGAGGGGCTACCGCACCGACGCTCCAGAAATTAAATTGGATGCTCTTGTATCATGGCCGATCGTGGACAGAGAGAGGACACGGCTTCTTGCAAGCAGCTTCCCTTGGGTCAGGTGGACCCGATTCGGTTGACCCAAGCCTGAAGTCCACGACACTTTGCAACCTGAGCGCTGCGTTGAAGCTGATGCTGGTACATCGAGCCCCAGATTGCGGCAGTCCTCGGGAGTGGTCAGAGAGTTGCAAGCAGGCTTTTTGAGACTGAAAAGCAGGGCTATAAGCTTCAGTGCTAAACGGGCCCAGATTCCGGGGCTCCTGCGGGGTTCCACAAGCGCAGGTAGTCACACTCATCGGGCCCATGCCGCTCATGTGACATCCCTGTCTCCGCCCCGAAAAAGACCCTCTTTGCGCCTTTGCCGAAGCATCTCCCAAGTCATCATCAACCCCTCAAGGGCCCTTCGGGGGCTGCGCCAGTGTTGGACGAGACTCCTTCGAGCAGCCTCGGTGGCTGAGGCTGTGTTTTGCCCCCGCACACTGTTGAGTCGCTTATGTCATTGACATGACTCATGAGGATCTAACGACGGTCTCTCTGAGGGCTTTGGGAGGTCTCTTCGCGCGCAGAGTTCCGAGCTCATGGCCGCTCAACAACAGCGGCCTGTAGCAACCCTCAACCTTCCGCCCCTCAACTACTTTTCATCCGCCGAGGTGCCGCGCTGCATATGGCCAGCGACCGTGGTGCTCCAGGGCGCTGAGGATGGCATTGTGGCCTGGGAATGCGGAGCACCCGGAGACCCTTACAACTGTCGGGGGTCTCGACTCCTCCTCATTCCCCGCACGCTGGACTCTGGGGAGAAGGCTCTCTGCAGCATATGCCTTTATGCGCCCGCGTTCCGCGTAATCGACCCCCACCCCCCCCCCTCCAACCCCCCTCCCTGGGCATCTAAGGGCTAAATGAGGGGACCAGGGCAGGCGGTCCAAAACCCTAAGCCCAAGACCACAGTAAACCCTCCACGCAACCCTAAACCCTCAGCCCTGAACCCAAACAACAAACCCTCCATCGACGCAGCCCTCAACCCTCAACCTAACCCTTACCCTAAACCCTATGTAGGGGCCCAAAACCCAAGAGCTCTAACAAGAAGGGCGCGAGGTTGACCCACAGGAGGGGGGATCCCATGAAGGGGGGGCTGTGGAGCCACAGGTGGGGGGGGGGAGAGGACAGGCAGGCCTGAACCACAGGGGGGGGGGGGGGGCTATTGGGGGGGGGGATGACCATGGGGGGGGGGGGTGCGCCTATGCTGGCGCAACAGCCTAAACCCTAAGCTCCTGCTTTGCTTCCAGACCCTGGACTCCAAATGTCAGCCGCAGGTCCTTTATAGATATATCATATGATTTTTGAACATATGATTTCAGCCAGCCCTCATTCCTCAAGTCCCTTCTCAGAGCCGGCAAACCCCCGTCCCCCAAATCCATGCTCAAAGCCAGCTATCCGGCCCAGATGAGCTGCCGATGATGTCGCTGGGCACCCGTTGGCAGTACATGGCCTTTTCAGGAGACGTGGGCTTCCGTTTTTTTGAGGGGTTTGCAGGGTTTGGGGCTGACCGGAGAAACTCCGCACGGGGTTTGGGATTTGGGGTTCCAGGGAAGGTTTCTTGGGGATGTTTCGCGGTGTCAGCGGGCAAAGCTTGGGTTACCCGATTGCCCCCGAAAGAGGGACGATCGCATGAGCCAGCAAGCATGTTGTCCAACAAACATGGAAGCCCCCCTCCCCACAAAATTTTTTCTGCTCCACGCTTCGGCCTGGTGCAGATTGAGGGCCCATTGCCACTTCCCAGTGCCAGCCGCTGCGCTCAAGGCCGCGTGGAGGGCGACCTCTCAGAGAGCCCTTATCTTGAAATTCTGGAGTATGAACTGCTTTCTGATTTGAGGGTGTACTCATTCAGAAATGGGTCTACCTCTGTTCAACATGTTGAGGACCTGTCAGGGAGTTGGTGGGTTTTGTGATAAGGAATCACATGATTCACTCCTTCACGCTGCCCCTTTAAGGCTTCCAGGCCCGGAGCGCTTCGAGCTTCTCAGCTCTTGAAAGCATGAAACCCCTGAGACCGGAACGTACAACCCAAACCTAGGTTGGCCGTTGAAACCCTCTTCAAAAGATTCCGAAGAATAATCATCCTTTTTTGAGCAACCGAAAGGATAAGCCTCTTAAGCCCAAGAAGGGACAATCTAGAACAGCCCACAGGGAGATTTTAACGATCTACAGCCCCCTTCACTCCTCTCCCATCCTTTGTTTCCACCGCACCTGCTCAAGCGGCAGCCGCAACTCCACCATTCTGAAGGGGCGTTTCTTTGGGTTTAGGGTTTAGGGTTTAGGGTTTAGGGTTTAGGGTTTAGGGTTTAGGGTTTAGGTTTTTTTTTTGCCACCCGCTTTTTTTCTTTTTTTTTTTCCCAACAAGATTTGAAGCTCCAGGTACCAATGAGACAAGAAGACGTTCCTGTACAAAAAGTGAACCCTCTACTTGAACACAATGTCCTCCAGGGAGGAAGGCTCCTCTGAGATCCTCTGGAGGATGAAAACTGTTGTTATATTGGTGTTTACACTGCTGCTCTTACCCATCTCCTGAGACATCAAGCGAATCCATTCAAGCCTATCAGAGCCACGGAGCCTCCTGGCGGCCTTCACCTCCTTGAACTGCAGAGACTGCGTCTTGAAGAACGAGATTAAGCTGTTCGCCAAAGCCGCGTGGCTCGACTCGTCGTCGAAGTAGTCCAATACGTCGATCTCTCTCGCCTTGGGTCTCTCTTCGCCCTCCATCCTCGGCCTCATGTAGAAGGCGTCCTCGAGGTTCTCCAACTTGACGTGCTTCGACGTCAGGTAACTCCTGGTCGAGAAGATCTTGTCCCTTGACATGAGGGGGAACTTGCTGATGTTCTTCCTGGCCTTGAGCAAGCTCTCACTCTCCTGGGTCTGCATCTCAATTTTGGCGCAATTCAACTTGTCCATCAGTGTCTGTGGCTTCATCATCATCTGCTTGTACAGCTCGGTCTCTCTGTAGGACTTCCTGTACTGCTGTATCGCCTCATCCAACTGGGCCATCTTGTTCTCCTCGTCAAGGGTCTTGAAGTGCTCCTTCATTTCCGCCAGACAGGTGTCGTCGGCGACTGTGAACCCCCACATCTCCTCCATGCTCGCCGCCTTCGTGGACGAGAATCTAGAGGAGAGGGTCTTGTTCAGGTAGTCGAACACTGTCTCGAATCTCAAGGACGAGTCCGAGCTCAACGCCCTGGCGGACGGCAGGGACAAGCCCATCAGGTGCCTGTTCAAATCCTGCTCGAACAACACCAGCTTTTGCATCTCAGACATCACCTCCTCTGACTCGTTCAAGAGCGCGGCAATCCCCTCCCCCTTGAAACTCATCGTCTTCATGTCGAACACGACTACCTCGAAAGTGACGTCTTGGAAGTTCTTGATCCTCGAGAGTATCTTGCCATACTTGCTGGCCTTCCTTAACAGGATCTTGTCGGAGTTCCCGGACGTGGTGGCAACCTCGAGGAGGAGGTCCTTGCCCTCGTAGTTCAAGCACAGGTCGATGGTCAACTTCGAGGAGGAGGCGCCCCTGAACTCGCTAAGAGGCACGTCAGACTTCTCGAAGCTGGAGCCCAAGTGGTTGCTGATCAACAGACATGTCATCTCATGCATCAACTCAGGCCACCTTGACAAGAACTGTATGCTCTTGAGGCTGAACTCGCTTACGGTGCCAAAGTTCCTCTTGATGATCGAGTCCACGCTCATTTCCTCCGTGAGTCTCATGTGGTACTTGGCCCTGTAGGTCTTTCTCGACGCAAGTTTCACTCTCTCCAGCAAGTTCCTGTAGAAGGTCCTTCTGCCGTTGCTCCCCAGCTTCTTGTTCAACGAAAAGAAAGACGCAGTCCCCTTCATGGCGTGATCCTTCTTGGAAAAGGGCAGGTTCGGGAAAATCTCCTTTGCGGCGTACGACAGGGGTTTGAAGGCGAGCCTCATCGCCTCCTTGAAGATCTTGTAGGTGGTCTCCAGGCTGGACTCCAACTTTTTCATCTCAGTCTTCTCTGAGTCTAACCTCTCCTCCAGCGCCATCTTGACGCAGTGGTAGGTCACGTCGAGGAGCTTGACACCTCCCTGGGACAAAAGGAGGTTTAGCACGCTGTCAACCTCAAGCACCTTCGAGCCGAACCACCTGGTTGTCACGATCACGTCGAACTTGGACTCGGCGATCTTCACCCTCTTCCTCGAAAGTAAGATGTTGAACCTTCTGTCGGACTGGTCCAAGACGGTGAGGTGGGCGTAAACGGCAAACGGAGTTAGACATCTCGGCAGCGAGCTATATCTAACCATCAGTTACAACCAATAGTTCTAAAAATCAGTGGTTCAACTAGAGATTTGTGATTCACTTCTAGTTGACGATGTGATTGAAAAGCAGGTTCTTCCTGGAACTGGGCTGCTAATGGAAGTGGCTAATCGCCATGATCATGAGAAACAGGCTGAGCAACCCATTGAGCCTGCTGCTTGAGCCATTTGGTTTAGGGTTTAGGGTTTAGGGTTTAGGGTTTAGGGTTTAGGGTTTGGGTTTAGGGTTTAGGGGGTTCAACTTTGAGGCTCTGACAGCCCAAGCATGGAGTCGGGACTTTCGGGTCAGGGTTTAGGGTTTAGAGCGGTCTTCTGGATCAGCGCAACAGCCCTCCTCTGAGATCCGCGATCAGTTTGGGACAAAGGCATCGGAGGTGCCGCCCTCGGCCTGCGCAGGATCCATGCGGCTGCGAGCCACTGGCTGCCTGTAGCTTCGGCTTTTTTTGCGAGAGCTTAGGGTGTGGGGTTTAGAGTTTAGGGTTTAGGGTTCAGAGTTTAGGGTTTAGGGTTTAGTGGTGGCCCAGGTTGTGCTAGGAACATAGTGCCCTGAAACGGTTTCATGCGCTGCGTCAGAGACCCTGAGCGCCTCAACAAAGGGAAGGCAGCTTTTACAGGGCATCCGAGTTTTGAGCTTGGGGTTGCCCCTGGGCTTTTTCAACGCAAGGGTGCCCTTTTCCCCTCAACAAGAAGCGATAAAGCACGCACAGGGGTTTAGGGTTTGCGAATCTTTTTGTTTCGGGTTGAGGCTGCATAAGAACTGTAACTTTGTGTCTACCACCAGGCCTTTCTCGCATGCGGAGACTGCTGCTGAGCATCCCACCAGCGAGTGCAGCGACGACCTGACAACGACATGGGGAATACGAGAGCCAAAGCAACTACATCTAATACCCCACACACTTAGAATATACCCCCCCCCCCCAAAAAAAAAAAACACAAATAACGCACGCACACGCACACGCACACGCACACGCACACGCACACGCACACGCACACGCACACGCACACGCACACGCACACGCACACGCACACACACACACGCACACGCACACGCACACGCACACGCACACGCACACGCACACGCACACGCACACGCACACGCACACCAAAGGCCCGGCGAAGAATCCTTGAAGAACCCGGAATCTCCGTCCGCAACATCCATGGTGATCCATCCTTTGGCTCCAAAGGTTGACAATACCAGACCCCCGCGCGATGCAGCGAGCTGGCCTGAGACCATCTTGCAGCAGACCGAGTGAGACCTGCCACTTCGCCGCCTGCACGTATCAAGATCAACCCGAACACGAAACTGCTGTGAGTAAAACGGCTTTTGGCCCCAAAGCCCTCAATTCCATGGATCCTGTATGCTCCTTGTGTGCCATGCTCCGTGCTTGGAGGCCCAGGCTACACGTCGCAGCGCACGCAAAAACGCAAGCAAGCTTGTTTAGCCTGGAGCCTCGGTTAGCATGGTTGGCATGTGACATGTGAACTTGGGATGCAGTGTTTTGGGGGTTGTTTGGTGGGGGGGGGGGGCAAAATGTGTTTGTAGGGATTTGGGGCGTATTGAAAACGATTCTGGCACCGGAGAATCAAGTGCTGAAAAGGCCCGGAAATCTCTTCCCGACGCTTTTTGTGCCATTGCTTCGCAATGTTGTGCAAGGTTCTGGGAGGGAAGAGGCAGGGAGGAGCGAAACCACGGAGGCTTTCGGCAGTTACTCGCCCGTTATACTCCCCAACTCGAGCCGATGCAGACTTGAGACTCCTAGCTACCTCTCCCAAAGAACAACACATGCAACCGCTCGTGGCGGAAATCCACTCAATGAAGGTCCCATGGTTCACAGCGCCCACCCTGCAAGCCCACAAACGGGGCGGCAGCTTGTTGCCGCATCCGAAGCCGAAAATACGGTCTAGCTGGAGCGGCCTTGCTCTGTTGAGCAGTGTGAGCTGTCAATCCTAAACCCTAAACCCTAAACCCTAAACCCTAAACCCTAAACCCTAAACCCTAAACCCTAAACAGCAAGACGCCATATGACGACGCCTTCGATGTAACGGGCAAGTTTCAAGCGGCACGGGGCCCATGAGGTGCCGTCAGCTGCCCGCCCTGGCTTCGGAGATCCGTGCAAGGAATTTCTGAGATTCGAATCTGGACGTCCAGGCTGTAGTGCAGTAGCTATGGAAGGCAAGTGAAGCTGTGACGTATCGACAAGCAAGGTCGAAAAAATGCCTTGGGCTGCTGCTGGTCGCATAGCTGTTGCAGCTTGTTGCCACTGGCAGTTGCTCAACCCTTGGACGGCTTTGTCCTCCCTGCTACTCCAGATGCCACCAGAATGTCATGCTCGCACATGTGTTTCGAAGCACTTCGGCTTAGGATCTTCGACTTCTGCAATTGGAGAGAGGCAGGCAGGGCATGCGATTTCCGGGTGAAGTACTTCGGGCTTTGGCTGCCCCGGGCATACCAAGCGGTCTGTTTTACAGTCCCTTTGTTGAACTCAGACTGGACTGCTCGCTTTTTACAGCCCCTAAACCCAAAACCATTGAATCTGCCACCAGTGGTAGTCAGAACCATCGCAGCTTCACGGAGAAATCGAGGAGGTGCAGGCTATGGTTGCATAGACCGCAGAAGATTGGATTGCAGCAGAGTTGTCCCTGCATATGCTGCACGCAATTTTAACAAATGCATATATACATATATATACATGCTAGCCCTGCCTATGTCTACATATGTCTATGCGTAGTTGTATTCGTTCATAGCTCCTTACATAACTCTTTGTATACAGAAACATAGTCAACTACATTCACAAGCTATAGATTTGAGTACAATGTATATGTGTGTATATATATATATGGTATGCCTATCTTCAGCTTCTGAAAGCTTGGGGAAGCTTTGTGGCCTCGGAGCTCTACCCTGCCTTACCCTGATGGTGATCATCCCAAAACGGGGATATCTTATATTCCACTCGATCATATTATATTGTATATGAAGGATGCTATATTGGATGTATATCATAATAAACCATATCATTTGGAATTTTTTAATGTATGTATGTATGTATGTATGTATGTATGTATGTATGTATGTATGTATATGTATGCACATATATATATATATATGGACACCCCCCCCCCCCCCCCCCCCCCCCCCCTCCCCGCCTCCCCCTCACCCCTCTTAACAACGAAATCATTCCTCAGGAGGCTTCAGATTAAATTCAACCTAGACAACTCGGTGCTGCGCTACTCCACTGCAGCTTTCCAGACGAGCCCACCCCCACATCTCCTTCATAGCATGTGCGCTCTGGGATGGCTTGGGGGTTCCCTCGCTAAACCCTAAACCCTAAACCCTAAACCCTAAACCCTAAACCCTAAACCCTAAACCCTAAACCCTTTTTTTGGGGGGCTCGTCTGGCTCGGGGCAAGGATGCGAACTGACAGTTTCCGCTCCGCCCAGCATCCTACAGGTGCCCAGGACTCCGCTTTGCGGGGGACCCTAAACCCTAAACCCTAAACCCTAAACCCTAAACCCTAAACCCTAAACCCTAAACCCTAAACCCTAACAGCATGGAACATGGCAGAAGTCGTTTTGATAGAACTCGTTGAGACACCGTTCTTTATGCTTCTTGTTGCATGCAGCATGATATGTAGCATACGCTATGCAATGTAAAGCAAAGCTATTGTTCCACGAGAATGCTAACTGATGGCAGAAAGCCACGGAACATGAACCGCAAACAATACATCGTGGAGAAATCTTATATGTAACATACCAGGCAAGTCTTGGTACCAGCCGGCCACCTAGCTCTAGCTCGCTCCTCTTTGTTTATTAGGCGCCCGAGTGGTAGGCTGTATATTTTGTGTCTAAAAATGTGTAGATATGTGCTTGCTTTCGTTCTAGATTATCAATCCGCGTTTAAGCAGAGTCCGGTCGAGCCGTGGACGGCGGCACACGGGCACGCAAAACTTCCCAGACAGCGCAATGACCTTTATTTTGCAGACTGTACCTTTGTTCAGAACATGTACCCCAACATGGTCCATGGTGTAATCCTTTCAATTAAGGGTATTGGCTGTCTGGGCTCAGCCGTCTGTGAGGACGGTGTGCGAGGCTTGGCAATGCGCAGCTCTGTCTCATTCTGGGAGAACAACCGGGAAAACCCTAAACCCTGAACCCTTTTGCACAGGCTTGTCTCAGCGCGCCTGGTCGAGCTCGTCGCTCTCGTGGCAACACGAAACCCTAAACCCTAAACGCCCTAAGCCCTAAACCCTAAACCCTAAAGGCCCTCCCGTCGGACTTCGGGTGCCCAGAGAGCCCAAGGAGCTGGAGATTGTCATTGCGCGGGTTCCTCTTAGGTGCCCGTAGGGATGGGAGACAACAGCCGCATGCCTCGATTCAGCAGACCGAAAATGTGGAAAGCACTCTTGTCCGCGGGAAAGCCACCGCGCCCTCTCACTCGCACTCATCTGCCACCTTATGCTTGACAGGTCTGATAGAACATGGTCAGTTGCATCCGGGCGATGTCAAGCACGAAAGAGAATGGAACGCTGAATCATGCCTGCCGAAGAACCTTTTCTCATGGAGGTGCCGAAGCTTTTTAAGTTTCAAATTGGCAAGTTCTGCTGTCTGAAATGTTCATTGAGTGCAGCCACCTGATGAGATGTGGGGATTCAACAGGGGCTGTAAATCGAAAGCTAAACCGCTACTAAAGCGATCTTTGGCTTCAGGAATAGGTCCTGAAGCAGCACCCTCTGCTCACCTATGATTTGCCACTTGGGCAACAAACAAGTTCTTGTAGAGTGTTACCTAACATGCTAGAGCGCACGTGCCTCCTATACCCCTTGCAAAAAAAGGCACCCTATACCAGTTGCATCGGCCAAGACGCAATTAAGGCTTCTCACCTCTCGCCGCGGTCAGCTGCGCGGGAAGTACGCTTGCTGTCCTGCCGCCAATCAACTGGCAGGCGGCAGGTGGGGTTGACGGAGCCTGTGTTGTTCGGAGTCATGAGACGGGGAGACCTGCTAGCGCACGCGCCCAAAGATATTCGACATGGATGCCTGCTACGCGAAGTCGAATGCGACGCGTCCTAGTGCATGGAACACATGCAGCCGTGCGTGATAAGGGGCCCCATAGATAAGCCCAGTCTTGGGGGTGGCGCACGCTGCCCTGCAACAAAATTGCCGCTTTCCAGCCCTGGCTGCGAAATGAAACCTAAGCACCCGGAGCCTCGGGCATTGTGAAGCAGCAGATCTCCCGCGTGCGCTCTGCCCGGCTAGCCCTTAATGCCCCGTATGATCGTAGGCTTTTCCTACCCAAGAGATATTTGGGGCCTCCGGAGATCAGAAAGTTCAGGGGTTTTAGGACCCCTTCAGGGTGTTTAGGGGAAGTCCTGGCCGGGAGACTTGGCCGTGGCAGCCTGCACAGTCTGCAAGACCTGTTCCACACCAAGCCTCAGATGTTCTTCTTGCTCCCGAAAAGTTAGGGGTACTTTTCTTGGGGGGTTCCCAGAGGAAGGATCGGAGTCTTTCGGGGGTTGTGAGAGTTTGAGATGTATTGATAGGTTTGGGGCTTGAGATATTTCATGCTGCACCAAACCTGAGATTTCTTGAGGGTGCTGGATGCGAAGCCTAGGAGATTCGGATGACTCCCTTGGGGAGTTTTCCTTAGCATAGGACAAAAAAACAGCGTGTGGCTGAGAAAGTCAAGGGTTCTTAAGGTTGTTGACCCTGGAACCCTTTGACAGTCTGAAACATATTGCTAATCACGATCCTGTGATACCCATTCGTTGGGAGATTAGCAAATTCTCACAAAACCGGGTCAGTCAAACTGTGCGTGTTCGTATTAATAGTACGACTTCTTTTGAAGTTACATACCTATTGTGGTACGACGACGACCACTACGACGACCACCGCGACGACCACGACGACGACCACGACGAGGACCACGACGACGACGACGACCACGGCCACGACCACGGCCACGGCCACGGCCACGACGACGACGACGGCCACGACGGCCACGACTGCCACGACTGCTACTCCTTGTGCTGCTGCTGCTGCTGCTGCTGCTGCTGCTGCTGCTGCTGCTACCTGCTACCTGCTACCTGCTGACTACTGCTGCTGACTACTGCTGCTGACTACTGCTTGTACTTGTTGTCAGCGTTTGGCAATCACTCGGATGGCGTTCGAAATCTGTCGTTTTAGGCATGGACTCTTAACACCTAAAGTCTGAATCCTTTAAGCCTTTGAACCGCTTAATTCTGTAAAGCCTTGGCTATGAACCATGCACCGGGGG